CCTGCCCATCCAGGAGCAGGGGCTGTACCTGCGGGGGGGCCAGGGGCGAGGGGAGTGGCGTGTCATTCCCTGCAGAGCTGTGACCTGCAAGGGGATGGAGGAGTCAGGGTGCCAGCACCATGAGGACGTTCCATCAGGAGTGACTGGGACCATACTGCCCTCAAGGTGGCTCCCCAGGCTCTCCCCAAGAGCTCATGGTGCTGGATGGGGCCCCATGGGACGCCCGAGGCCTCGGCCCCGGCTGATGCCCAGAGAGGACCAAGAAGGGACACCCCTACCAAGGGCTTGGCTGAAGCACCAGCCACTCAGAGGCATCATTGGCCCCAGGCAGGACACAGTGCTGATGGTTTTGGTACATAGTGTGGGTCCCATTTGCAGGATCAGTGTGGACACATCTTCAGGCCACAGGAACCACCCTCTGATTTACAGACTGGACTAGAAATGGCAGTGCAAACCCACCCAGGTGGCCACCTCCAGCCCCATCCCAGAGCTGCAGGAGCCAGACCACGGCTCTCCTTGCTCCTGGCACTGCCCTTCCTGGTGCCTGGGCAGTGCCAGGAGGCAGGGACGGATGGACAGACAGCATGGAGGGGAGTGATGGAAGGTGCCAATGTGGTCAGGCAGGGGAGGATGAGATTAAGCAGCCTCCTCCTCCAGCACCTTCCTCCATCTAGCTGAGTGGCAGGGTCCCAGTGGGGTCTCAGGGCGGCGGGCCCCTCCTACCCACCAGCACTGTGGCTGCTTGGGCTCACCAGGGCTGGACAAGTTGCAGACGCAGCTGTAGGAGGTGATGTTGTCTAGCCGGTATTGCCAGTTGATGGGGAAGGTGTCCGCCAGGCTCAGCATCTTTTTCAGGGAGTCATAGATGAATATCAAGCTGATGAGGGCGCAGAAGCCTTCCTCAGTGAAGCGGGTGAAGTACCGCACCAGGTGGCTGGCCTCTGTGGCCACCAAGACCATACCAAAAAAGGCCACCCAGAGCCCAATCCAGAGGCGAAACTCCAGGTAGTCCAGACTGTGGTCCCTGGTGGGAAGGGCGACCTAAAGCCTCAACAATGACACCGGCCCACCGTGATGGTGGCTCATGCCCCGGGCCAGGGGACAGTGGCCTGAGGAGCTATCCCTGGCAGGGTACTCACTGGGTGAAGGAGAAGAGGAGGCGCTCAAAGACCAGCACTGGACCGGTGCTGCCCAGGATGGTCAGCGGCTGGCCAGAAAAGAGACAGAAGATGGAACCAGCGAAGGCTGTGCCCAGGAAGCTCTCCAGCACCCCCTGAAATGCATGGGAAGGGTGCCAGGTGCCAGGCATGTGGCAAGGATGGGGCTCCCAGGCCGGTTCCCTGCAGTGGCACAGCTGCAGGAAGCTGCTCGCACCTCCCAGCACTGCGGGGTGCAGGGTCAGCACTTCCAGACTGCAGAGGCTGGGAAGGATGCAGGATTCGGGTGATGCTCAGGATGGCCCAAGGGCACCGCTGGCTCCCTGGGCACTGCTGGGAGGTAGGTACCCAGCAGACCCACAGGCTAGGCCAAGAGGGTTTGGTGCCAGGCATTCTGCAGCTGCACGAACCTGCATGTTGGCGGTGGCGTCTCCCAGCATGCCGCCAAAGGTAATGGCGTTGGTGACCGTTGCCAGGTAGATGTAGAGCACTGCCGAGAGGCACTGGGGGTGCAGGGCGTCAGAGAAGTCGCTGCCGTACCATGGCGCCTTCCTCCGAATGTCTCGCACCAGCCCTCCAAAAAGCCTGGTGCGGTGGAGGGAGATCTCAGAGCAGCCCCCGCAGCTGGCCACCACCCCCTGAGAGAGCTGCACGGCACGGGGCCATCCCTTCCCCAGGAGACACCAGTCCAGAGTGGTTTGGACGTGGTGGCTAAATGTGCTGCGGAGTGCCAACGCCCTGCCTCGAATTTGGCATCCCGCCGCACCTCCCACTACCCTTGTCCTTCCAGGCACCCACCTGCCCGTCCTCTCCAGCTCCTCACTGGAGCGCGAGTGCCCCAGGCCAGGTCTGTCCCCAGCTGCTGCCACGTCACCATTGCTGTGGGACTGCCGATCCGGTGGGTGCGCGGCGGTCCTGTGGCAGACCAGAGCCTGAGACGACAGCCTTCAGGTTGGAGCCCTCAGGACCCAGCTGCATCTAGGAGATGCTGTGAGGGGACAAGGAGGATGGGGAGGGGACACGGGTGCAAGCAGGGCTGGGGGGACCTTGTGTATCCCCTGATAATGAGGAGGAGGAGAAAGATCAAGAGGAGAAGGAGAGATGGGAGGGTTGGACTAGATGATCTTACAGGTCCCTTCCAACTGAACCATGATCTCCTCCAGCAAGCCCTGGAGTTCCCTAGTGGCACTGGCTTTGGTGGAGGAGTGAGGCAGAGCTGGAGATGTCCTGCTTGGAGCATGAGTTTCATACCCTAGTGCTGAAACCTGTCATTCCCAGCAGCTCCTGCCTGAGGGGCACCCAGGGCAGTTTTGCCATCCCCTGCCAAATGAGACAGCAGGACTAACAGCAGCAAGGACCAGAGCTGTGGTCATTGGCCAGAGCTGCAGAGGGGCTTGGCTCGGAGGACGTCATTGGTAAAGTTTGGCTCGTGGGTGGCTTCATCCCCAAGGAGATGGAGACTTCAATGTCACAGGCAGAGGTCTCCACCTGGGATCCTGCAGAAGGGCTGGCAGAGGCTGCTGGTGCCCCCCCTCCAGCCTACCTCCTGTGTGAAGACGGCGGACAGCTCGGCGGAGGAATTCGGGCACTGGGGTCCCATTTCCCAGGAGGAAGCACAGTCAGCTCATCAAGGAATGACTCCATCCCTGTGATGAGGTCCTCTCGGTGCTCAGCCTGCCGGGCAACCCTTTGGAAGAGCTGTGGGGGAGATGTTGTGGTTCAGCCACCACGTCCCTGCATTCAGCCCCTTGGAGCCTTCCTCCCAGCCTGCAGCCATCACCAAGAAAGGCACCCATCCACTTCAGTGCAACAGGTGCACCTACATTGTACAAACCCATCCCAAGCCTTTGTTTTCTTATCCTGGGCAAGGGAAACCACCAGCTTGCCTCATCCTCTGCCTCCCCTGCTGCAGCCTGCAGAGCAGAGGAGCCCCAGTGTCCTCAGCCTAGGCCTCATTCCAGGCCCATCCCACCCATGGGTGCTGCACTGGACTCACCTCATCCATCATCAGCGTGGCCATGGCCCTGCCAACCTCATGGTAGGTTTTTACTTTGGCTCGGGGACCCAGCAGAATGAAGAGGAACCTGCAGGACAGATGCATCTCCTGAACAGCCCTCTCCTCACCAGGAGATGCTCTCCCAGGGGAGACCATGGTGCTGCAGGGATGCTGGGGATGGCAGCTGGGCAGGCCTGGGGGGCTGCTGCCATCAGAAGGGGTGGCCACCCTAAGCAGGAGGTCGGGGGCAGAAGAGGAGACAGTGTCTGCTGCCCGCTGCATGGAAACCCCATGGGAGACCATGGGACACCAGGACCCTGGGTGGATCACAGGGGCTGCAGAAAACTAGGCTGGGGGCGGATGAAGCTGAGGCATCTTTGGGGCAGAGAAGAAGACATCCTCTGCTGGGGATGTCTGTGGGGTCTTGCTCTCAGCTGGGACTGTCTGTGGGGTCAAGCTCTTGGCTGGCGATATCTGTGGGGTCAGGGTCTGGGATTGGGGTGTCTGTGGAGTCTAGCTCTAGGATGGGGCAGTCAGTGGTGTCAGGGTCTTGACTGGGTCTGTCTGTGGGGTCATGCTCATGGGAATCTTGCTTGGATGCAGGATGCAGGAGTGTTAGCATTGGGAAGAAGAGCTTGCCAGCTGCATAGGCAGCAGGTTTGGTAGGACTATGGGGACACGTGAGGAGATGGGAGAGAAGGCTCAGAGTCCTTGAAGAAATATGGCTAAAATCCCACACCTCAGAGGGTGCTGCAAAATTACAAGGTCTCCAGAGGGACAGCCTATCCAAATATCTAACCAAGTCCTCTACTCTTTTCCAAAACTGGCAAAAGCAGTTGCAGTCCTGTATCCCGAGGCTGCAGAGCAGTTCCAGACATTGTGCCCCGAGCAAACCCCCAGAGAGAGGGTAGGGAAACTCCTCCAACAGCATGAGCAGGGCTGAAGGTGGCTCGACAGAACCAGCTACAGCCCTGACGTGGGGCATCAGTGCTGAAGACCTCCTGGAGCCTGCTCCAAGGAGTAGTGAGGTGACGGTAGCAAAGGGATGGGTAGGGACAAGCCGTCATTCTCCTCCTGTTTGGGGGAGGAAAATACAGGGCAAGGGGTCGTCGCGAGCCCCTCGAGACCCGCAGGGGCTGCCCAGGGACCTGCCACCCATCTCCCACCAAGGAGAGAGCAGGAGACGGGTGTCCTGCTCCACACAGCCCATGGAGGACGGGTGCTCTGGGCAGAGTGACCAGGAGGTGGCAATGTCCCTCCTGATCCCCGCCGGCCTCCTCTTCCCGCTCCCGAAGAAGTCCCCAGCTCACGAGGCACACTGACCATTTCCCCCCACGGCTTCAGATGACGCATTCCTCAACCATGGAGGAACACCTCCTGCCCTGCTCCTTTCCCCTTACGCCAACAGTGCTGCAAGAGCCACCCCACCACTCAGGAGAGCGCCGTGCACGAGGCTTCTGCAAACCTGCGTCCCACCCCTGCCACGAGCCCCCGTGCTCCCAGGCAGTAAGTGGAGAGCATCCGGCCCCTCCGAAGGAGGAGAGTGAATGCAGAGTCCAGGTGGGGACAACCCAGGGGATGTCCCCTCCCAGACTGCCCAACAGATGCTCCACTCTCAGCCCATCCCAGGATGCTCCCAAGGAACTGGGAGAAGTGAAAGGGGAAGCAATAAGTTGTGGGACTGCATGTGGCATTGGGTGCCGTACCCCTTGCTTTTGCCAAGCAAAGCCTTGTCCTGTGTGGGAGGGAGCAGGGAGACAGGGATGAAGCGGGGTGCAGGGCCATTGGCCGTGCTCCATTTACCTGCTGGGGAGAGCAACTTCAGCCAGCGAGCCGAGGGGCACCCCTTGCCTGAGGCGGATGAAGGCAGTGAAGGGCTTCTCCAGGAATTCAACTTCACCGACGGCAACGTGGGCTGCTTCAGCCCCTGGTGGTATCTTCTTCTTAAATCGGTTTCTCAGCTGAAAGGAAAGAGCTGCAGCAGCTGGGCACTCGAGATGCAGTAGCTGCTCTCAGCCCAGCTTCATCCTACCTTACCTGCTCCTTAAGAGGTGTTCTGGAGAGCTGGGCTCCAGGCTCAGACCAGCTTTCGGCCTTCCCTGCAAAGAAAGGGGGCAACCAGCAAAATACGTGTGCAAGCGAACGGCCAGCATGGGTATTGCCCCAGGCTGGTGGCAGCAGAGGGATGCCCAGTGGACATCCTGTGGCCATCCATGGCGGGGCACAATGCCTACCTCGGCAGGGAGAGAGGCTGAGCTCGGCAAGGAGCCGCAGCAGGGATTTGGTGGGCTGGTGCC